TACATAATTTTACGACACGTGTTTCTGGTCTCGCGACCGTCTTCAGGTAAAAGTGGAGATTTCCACATATTATTAAAAGTAATTAATTTTTTCCTCATGTTCAATGTTAAATATTCTCGATATGTGACATTTTCTGTTTTGGTAATCTGAATTTCAGATTTAATAATATGTGGAAATCTCCACTTTTACCTGAAGACAGTCGCGAGACCAGAAACACGTGTCGTAAAATTATGTAAAACAAAGCATAATATTTTTTTTAAATAAATCTACATTACAACCAAAAAACGTTAGCGGCACCTCTCTTCTTCTTTTAATATACATCTCTCGTTGGAAGCACTACATTATATTTCTTTTATATATATATATATATATATATATATATATATATATATATATATATATATATATACGCCTCCTTGGCTTCACGCTGTCCACTGACATGGGGTGGAATAAATACACTGAATCAAAAAATTCATCTACCGCAAGGAAAGTTGGTTCTCTCTATCGTGCCAGAAAATTTTTCTCGTTTGAGTCCATCCTTCAAATCTATAAATTAACCTTCCGTCCTTGCATGGAATATGGTCTGGTGCCCCCGCTGTATGTCACGAGATCCTCGACAAAATCCAGAGACGAATATGCAATATGATAGGTTCAAATCTGGCATCTAGTCTACAGTCGTTTTCTCACAGACGCGTAGTGGCTTCCCTCTGTCTCTTCTATAAGTATTTCCACAGCAACAGTAAAGACGATCTTCTATCTCTGGGTCCCAGACTGCATGAATTTAAGCGGGATACCAGGCTGGCATCTCGGTCCCACTCTTTCACTGTCAAAACGGTTAAATATCACCGTCTCTTCTGCTCAAACAGCTTCTCCTCCCGCACTTCCCGCCTGTGGAACTCCCTTCCCCTTACTTGCTTCCCCGATGACACTAATTGCAAACATTCAAGTGTAATGTCAATCGACATCTGACTCCCAGAGCTACTTCCCCGTCCATCTCTGTATCCTTTCCTCAAACACGCCTCATTACTCTTTTTCAATCCCCTGAAACCCCTTGCATGCTGTGGCCCTCCCACCTTACTTGAGGTGATTTCCTTATATATATATATATATATATATATATATATATATATATATATATGTGTGTGTGTGTGTGTGTGTGTTTGTGTGTGTGTGTGTGTGCGCTTGCGCACGGACGCGCGTGTGTGTATGTATGTGTGTTATTTTTAATTTAGTTTTGTTTAAAGGTTATTTTGATGGATAATCATATTCGAGTACAAGCTCTGTTTATTAATTAAACAGTTTTTTTTTTTTATCGAACTACAACTACCAGCATTGTCGGAAAAATATGAAACTTCTGGCAGGATATTTTTCCTGACAAGATTTCTTGAATATTCAAGCTCGTAGATATAGTTAGGTAAAAAGACTGTTTAAGTGAAAAACTGAGCTTCTTTTTGAATATGAATATCCATAAAAAAAATAACGTTTAAACAAAAAAAATTAAAAATAACAGTATGTCGGATTTAATCCCTTACCTATATATATATATATATATATATATATATATATATATATATATATATATATATATATAATTTGTTTCACTGAATAATATACATATATATATATATATATATATATATATATATATATATATATATATATATATATATATATATCCAAGATCATCTTCAGGTCAGAGGGATACTGGGAATATTTTTTTTATTTTTTTATTTTTTTTTTCCCCATATTCAAGCACTTTCGATCTTCTCCAAGATCATCTTCAGGACAGAGGGATATTGGGAATATTAGATTTTTTTTTTTTTTTTGCTCCCATATTCAAGCACTTTCGATATTCTCCAAGATCATCTACAGGACAAAGGGATACTGGGAATAATAGATTTTTTTTTCTTTTTCTTCTTTTTTTTTCCCATATTCAAGCACTTTCGATCTTCTCCAAGATCATCGTCAGGACAGAGGAATACTGGGAATATTAGATTTTTTTTTTTTTTTTTGCTCCCATATTCAAGCACTTTCGATCTTCTCCAAGATCATCTTCAGGACAAAGGGATACTGGGAATATTAGATTTTTTTTCTTTTTTTTTTTCCCCATATTCAAGCACTTTCGATCTTCTCCAAGATCATCAAGACAAAGGGATACTGGGAATATTAGATTTTTTTTTCTTTTTTATCAGCCGTATTTATTTAGAGTCTTTTTTTTCCTTTTATTTCCATCACTTTTGTAAGTAGGTATCCATACTGTGATATTAGAAGATCCGCCAGAAATGGTGAAAAGTTGTAAGAGCCTGGTTGCAAATTTACTGTAGATGACCTTGAGATTAAGGCACTCCCTAGCCATTTACGTTGTAGTGAATTATTTTCTCCTTTGATCATGATGGTGTTTTTTATGTCAAAGTTGTGGTCACTCTCGTCACGGTGGCAACCAACCCATTTGATGAATTATTTCGCAAAATATCCCTTTTGTGTTCACATAATCTTTTAATTAGATTCCTTGAGGTTTCTCCTATGTATTTTTGTGACAATTCTTACCGGCAATGGAGTAAACTCCTTCAGGTTTTAGGTTATTGCTTCGTTTAGTATTGACTAAGTTTAGTATTGTTTTGGATGGAGTTGTAAATTTTGTCGAGTTAAGATAGATTCTTTTCTATTGTTGATGTAATAGTGTTAGTCGGTAGGATAATTTTTTTTTTGTTTTTGTTTTATTGGGTTTCTCAGAAGAAACGGTTTTTTGTTTTGGAGTATTTTGTGGGCCTTTGTTTCGCTTTGCACATAAAATAAATAGGGCACTGGAGAAGTCTGAAAGTGTTTTCAATGGATGACTCTTCTTCGGGTAAATGACCCGGGCCGCACATTGTTAGAGCTCTTAGGCCGGATTGTTATGACGAGATTCGTTTTTATTGGTTGATTTCCAGTGGACACAGAGTTTTAAATTTTTGTTCGTATAGTGTAGCTTGATCTATAGGAAGTGTAAGAAATTTTAGATTTTTTTTATCTGTCTATATTTCTGAGATGAGGTATTATGTACATTATTTACATTTTTCGGAATATTGCCCTCATCTTTCTCGCCATATTTATTACAACGTTTCGGCCGTTTTACGCTCCGGCCTTATTCAGGTGGTTGGAATGTCGAACTGAACCCTTTATTTCGCTCACTGTGCCATGTTTAATGGATGTCATTTATCAACTTAACCTCTTTTCGAAAGTAACTAATATTCTGATACAATAGTTGTCAGTGAAAATGAATACCCTACGACACCTAATTAAAATGACTGGATTTCCCCGTATCCATGGAAACAAATATTATGAATGTATGTGCGTATAAAACGCAGTAAATTTCAAAATAAGTTATTCCAAAATTCGCTTGAAAATGAAACATCACTAGGGATTTCATTCTATAATTGAATTTGAAGAATTTAGTTTCTGTTTTTGAAACATGGTAATTCCTGTGTAGCGAAGTAACCATATTTTTAAATTAGTAAATTTATAATATTTATGCTCTGTAGATTTGCATTGAGCACTGTTTTGTAAAAATAAAAATAATTAATAAGAACACCGGATTATATATCTTACTGTTCTTTTTTTTTTATATATATATATATATATATATATATATATATATATATATATTATTTATATATATTATTTCATAGAGAAACAATTCATACAAAGAATTAAACAGCAATGTTAATGTGATTAATGGTGAAATCACGTCACTAACAGGAATAAATGAGGCATTAAATTGCTATCAATTCCTTAAATAATACGATCTTTATATTCAAGTTGTTATCAGATGGAAGAAGCATGCCAAGTACTTTCGATAATTTCAAATTGTCATCTTCAGGGCGCAATCTTTACATACATAGGCAAACACTAAAAAGAAATATGTATAGACCGAAATATTTTTTTTTTAATTATGCTATTTATTGACAGTTGAATATACGTTTATTATGATTTATCAAATATTATATATATATATATATATATATATATATATATATATATATATAGAGAGAGAGAGAGAGAGAGAGAGATAGATAGATAGATAGATATCTGTCAGGATTTCTGAGATTTAGTATTGTGAATATTTAAACTACATTGTTCAGACTGTTGTCCTCATCTTCGAGGCCATATTCACGACGTTTCTGTCCTTGTACGTTCCGGTATTCGTCAGGATCTGTCTATATTTCTGGGATGTGGTATTGTAAATATTTACACTGTTTACATTGTTCGGACTGTTGTCCTCATCTTTGTTGCCATATTCACGACGTTTCGGTCGTAATACGCTCCGGTATTCGTCAGGATCTGTCTGTATTTCTGGGATGAGATATTGTAAATATTTACACTATTTGCATCACATGATTTTAGTATCAGTGGATAAAAGCGTTAGTTTAAAGTAATCACGTGGCTTGACCCAAAGAATTCTGAGTTCAATACCTGGCCACAGCATATGTGAACAATAACTTATGGAGTTGATTTAATAAAGGGAAATAACTGAAATTGAAATTGGGATATCCAAAAGACGTATAAAACGTGGAACTAGACGAAATAAAGTGTTAGGTTAGAAATTCTAATCCCCTGACGAAAGCCAGAGCGTACAATAGCCGAAACGTTGTAAATATAACAATAAGATGAGGACAATAGTCCGAACAATATAAATAGTGTAATTTATATATATAAATATGTAGGAAAGTGCAGTGATATTGGGAATGTGTGTATTCAGGGAGTAGAGATAATAGTATTGAATACTTGTTGGCACTTGATCTTTAATGAAATACGCCAGTCACAACTGGCATAAAGACTTAACGAGTCCCTATGACAATCTAACTCTATAAATAAAAGCCATAGGCTCGTCGTTTTCGACAACAAATGCCTATGCGTTGAAGAGCGCATTAAATAACTAAGGATTCAACAACAAATAAAGCATAAACCGAATCACTCAGAAAAAAAAATAGAGGAAAAAAACCAAAACCAAAAAGAACACAATGACATCAATCAAACCTGTCGACATATGCAAAGCAATTAGCGATTTCCCGCCCTTTTCCCTGCATCCATTTGATACCATCGTTTTTCACCAGAACGAGGCTAGAAAAGAGTCACACCCAATTCGGGATATATAATTATCCTAATTCAAAAATCCCGAGTAATTGACCTCTGACACTTGTTCTATCTTTCATTGTGATATTGTATGTAGTTTTTGCGCATTTTGCAAGTACTTGGTACGATTGCGAGCATTCGTAGGAATTGTGAAATGGCGATGAAATTCATGGCGTCTTTCTGGATTTTCATGGCCATTATTTCTATCCTGAATTTCAAACCCGATTTATGTTCTCTTTCTTCCTTTATCTTTTTCTTTCTGTTGTTTATTCATTTTTTTTTCTTTATTTGCAGATATCAATTTTCTTTTTTCTCTTCTTTTTTTCTTTTACTTGCCTTTTTTTTCTTCTTTATGTGTCGTATCTCTTCAGGACGTAGGCAATCATTACTCGCCACTCCCCCCATCCCTTGTAGTTCTCAATCAATTTCATCCCTCTGCCAACTTCCCCACCTTTCACCGCTCCCAGATCACGTTCTGTCATCCGCTGGATTAAACCCGCCAGGTATATCATGCGTTGCTTTCTCTTGTCTCTCTTTCCATCTATTCGACGTGTGAGTATCAGATTCTCCAGGTCTTCTTTTCTCATTACGTGTCCCAGAAACTTCAGCTGCCTGTTCCTGATGTTAAGTATAAGCTACCTCTTTGTTTGCATCCTCTCCAAAACCTCATCGATGCTCACAGGCACGACCCATGATAGCCTAAGCATCCTTCTGTAGAACCATATCTCCGTTGCCTCGAGTCTCTTCTTCATCTTTGAGGAGACCGTCCAAGATTCGTTACCGTAAAGGAGGACAGATAACACGTAGCAGCTCAGTACTCTTTTCTTTGTTAGCAAAGAAAACCTTCTGTCTCGTAATACTCTGCTTAGCTTTTGGAATGCGTCCTTGGCCATCCCAGTACGTCTTACCGTCCGACGTCAAAACACTTCCCAGATATTTAAACTTCCGCGCACGGTTGATTTTAGTATCACCGACCTGCAAATCGCATTTCGGGTTCACCCTTTTACTTATGATCATGCATTCTATTTTATGCATAGTGCATTCTTCTCGATCTCCTTCATTACGTCCTGTAGGAGGTTTTGCAATTTCTTTGTCTCGCTTTCCATCTATTCGACGTGTGAGTATCAGATTCTCCAGGCCCTCCTTTCTCATTACGTGTCCCAGAAATTTCAGTTTCCTCTTCTTGATGTGAAGCATAAGCTTCTTCCTTGTTTAAATCCACTCTAAAACCTCATCGTTTCTCACACGCTCGGCCCATGATATCCTAAGCATCCTTCTGTAGAACCCTATCTCCGTTGCCTCGAGTCTCTTCTTCATCTTTGAGGAGACTGTCCAAGATTCGTTACCGTAAATGAGGACAGATAACACGTAGCAGCTCCTTAGTCTTTTCTTTGTTACCAAAGAAATCCTCCTGTCTCGTAATAACCTGCCTAGCTTTTGGAATGCGTCCTTGACCATCCCAATACGTCTTACCGTCTTCCGTCAAAACATTTCCCAAATATTTAAACTTCCACGCATGGTTGATTTTAGTATGACCGACCTGCAAATCGCATTTTGGGGTCATCCTTTTACTGATAAACATGCATTCTGTCTGCTTGTAGTTTATGCTTAGTCCCTTCATCTAGCTCTCCTTCATTACCTTCTGTAGGAAGTTTTGCAATTTCTTTTCCGTGTCTTCTATCAGTACTGTGTCATCTGCATATCTTATGTTGTTAAGATTGTGACGACCAATGATGAATAACGGTAGAATTTCCAATTCTCTCAGGATTGTCTCGCAGTATAGGTTGAATAAGTCCGGCGAGAAGACACATCCTTGCCTTACACCCATTTCTATTTTTGTATATCTGCTGAACTCATTCTCTATGCGCATGCATGCCATTTGCTGCCAGTATAGGTTCTTGATTATTCTGATATCTTTTCCAAATATATCAAGGTTGCTGAGCAATTCCAACAGGTCCTTGTGGCGTACATTGTCGAACGACTTTGCGTATTCCTTTTCTCAGAGGCCTACGGCTACATCACATTCAATAATCGGTTCTTGTACGATCCCCGAAGTTAACCAACATTGATCCTGACCAGTGACCAATGGGGAGTTCTCTGCCAACTTTCTGAGGCAGTTCCCAAAGGCTATCAAAGCCAAACTCATAGGGAAGCTGACGAAATGGTTCTTGTTTCATTCTCCTGCACACGGATGCTTAGTTTTAATGGATGTTGTGCGTGACCGTGTCTTTGAATTGATTGATCACGCTTCATATTCTCTTGATTTAGCACCGCCTGACTATAATCTGTCCCCCAACACTTGGCTGGGAACCAGTATCTCAAGAGGTGAAGGTGTCATATTTGCTGTTGATGACTTTTTGACCAACATCATGAAAACTTCTTCAACGATCGGATCCAAGCACTGCAAAACCGATATAAGAATTGCGTTGACCGCAAGAATGACTATATTGAAAGACAAATATCATTTGGTCACATTTCATACGAGTATCTTAGTCAGCCTATGAACTTTTCAGTTGACCCTCGTAATAATGTTGTCAAAAATCGTGAAAATATTTTGTTTTCAAGAGTTGACATGCGTAAAAATGAACTTATTAAAATCCTAGCGCAGTTGTATAAGGAATTGCTTACTGGATGTTAGGAATAGATTTTAAACTATACGAGACTCACTCTAGTGAATGTCTTACATTAAATAGACTTTTGCATCATACAATTTACAGCCTTTCTCAAGTACATCAGAACATTTTTTTTTATTTTTGTTTACCTCCGGTATAAATATTTAAATAATCGAACATAAAAGAAAGTAGATTATTTATTTATTTTTTTTTTTTTTTACAAACGCGTGCTATTTTAAAACCTCCACCACTGATAATCGCTTCTAAAGTCAAAACCGGGAACAATTAAACGTGTTGAGAGAATTGTATTTCTTATTTTCTTTGAAAGGGAAATCGAATTTATGTTCGGTATGTTGAAGCCGTGTGAAATCATTGAAATGTCGTCAGAAGTCTTTTCTTTCTGGGGTTTTTTTTTTTTTTCCTCTTTCCTTTGAAGGAGTGGACAAATGATATCCATTGATTTCGTTATTTATTTTATTTTATTTTGTCATTTCAAAAGAATTGTCCTGGCGTTAATAAAAATGCAACTATAATCGATGTAATTTTAGCTTAAAATAGAAAATGCTTCACAAAAGGTATTTAATTGAAATCAATCTCGGAGAACCAACTGTAGATGCCCGGCATTAAATGTGTTGTTGTGTGAGAGAATGAAATCTAGTGACAGGAGACGGGTTGAGTTTGGGGTGAGAGGTATGAGGAAAATAAATTGAGGGGCGGGGGGAACGAATGAAAATTAAAAATAGAAATAAAGGAAAACCTTTAAAGAAAAGGAAGACTGAAAGCAAAACTAAAATAAAAACTGCATTTAATCATTAATACACGCGAGATAAATAAGCATATACAGGGTGATTGAAACGTAACTCCCTATTTGATGTACAATGGACTCTCCAGTCGTGTAAAAATTATAGTTAGACGGGAGAGTCCATCATACATAAAATAGGGAGGTACTTTTCAATCACCCTGTAGAATGAAACGCAGAAACGTACGCAAACACACACACACCCTGGTGCAAATTAATTGAAACAAAACTCAGAGGAGACTCCAGGCCAGTCTATCTAGTGATTTTCCAAGCGTAGCTCAGATGTGGCACAAGGCCGATAGTATGGGGCATCCAGTGAGGATAGAACTAACGACTCAGCCGTAACTGTTCTAGCAAGACAAGCTCGCTAACCATTACACCACCAGGCCAGTCAATCTATCTCAGCCTGTTTATTTATTTCTATCTATCTATCTATCTATCTATCTATCTATCTATCTATCTATCTATCTATCTATCTATCTATCTATCTATCCGAGGGTGTTAATTTTCTTTCTTTCTTTCTTTCTTTCTTTCTTTCTTTCTTTCTTTCTTTCTTTCTTTCTTTATCCGACGGTGTTTATCTATCTATCTATCTATCTATCTATCTATCTATCTATCTATCTGAGAATAATAATTTTCTTTCTTTCTTTCTTTCTTTTCTTTCTTTCTTTCTTTCTTTCTTTCTTTCGTTTAATCTACGGTCTATCTATCTATCTATCTATCTATCTATCTATCTATCTATCTATCCGAGAATGTTAATTTTCTTTCTTTCTTTCTTTCTTTCTTTCCGACGGTGTTAATCTATCTATCTATCTATCTATCTATCTATCTATCTATCTATCCGGACAAGATAAAATTTTCATTCTTTCTTTCTATCTTTCTTTTTTTCATTCCTTCTTTCTTTCTTTCTATCCGACGGTGCTAATAAATCTATCTATCTATCTATCTATCTATCTATCTATCTATCTATCTATCTATCCAAGGGTGTTAATTTTCTTTCTTTCTTTCTTTCTTTCTTTCTTTCTTTCTTTCTTTCTTTCTTTCTTAGGGCGTTAATCTATCTATCTATCTATCTATCTATCTATCTATCTATCTATCTATCTATCTATCTATCCAAGAAATATCTTCTTTCTTTCTTTCAAGAGATTTCTTTATCTTTTCTTTCTTTCTTTCTTAGGGCAAATTATCTATCTAAATCAAAATCTATCGAATAATTTCCGTTATTATTTACTTTTTTTTCGTATTTTTCCAATGAAACATGACCCAGTGCACATGTTGGTACTTCGTATGTCCATTTCACGAACTCGTTCCTTACAAATTAACCACAGATACTCGCTTGGATATAAATTAGAGGCGTTTTCAAGCCAGTCGATAGTACTTTGATTTGCTCACTTTTAAGAATTGCCATTGTGTTCAGGCAGCGTTACAATTTTCGTATGCGTCTTTGGAGTAACGTCCATCACAGACAATGGCCGTAGGACAATTAATCAACAGTTGAGACAATAGTGTCTGGGCGTGATAAAAATCTGATGCAATCACGGATGGCTCAATACTTTTCAAGGCCAAACAAATTTCATCATTCATACTGAAAATAAATTCATATTACTGCACACCATTGCAAATGACCTAATCTTAGGAAAAAAATAAAAATCGATTACATCTGTAACACCAGTGGGTCTAAAACTGACCGAATGATGAAAGAAAGGAAACTAAAGCAGTTGTTTCAATTAATTTGCACAAGGGTGTATATATGTGTGTATAAGGTGTATTTCGGCAGCAATAATTCTTTCAAATAAGTTCTGTCTACGATTTAATACTGATTGAATACAGTAATTGTGGCACAAGGCTGAAAAAAAGGGGGAGATTGGTCAAGGCTGCTCGACACTAACTATTTTATATATAACTAATCACATACACGGCCTATTCATGCCTTACAATTTACTCATTTACCATAAGAATATATCCGTTACCATTTGCTCCTACATACAATAAAATACCTTTCACACACAGGGCCCCGACTGAAAAAAACATCCCATGACTTAAAGATTCAAGATGTAAAATTGTATAAAAATTATATCGATGCTATGAAATGATAGGCCTGGGAAATGACCCCGAAAACAAACTGAAAAAAGAAAGACCCTAAATATATTTGTATTTTAAAATGCCTCTTTGGTGTTCATATAATCAATTATTTCAATTTCTTGAGGTTTCTTTATTATATTCTTTCTGGCAATCTTTGCAGGTTTAGAGTAAATTCGTCCTTCACTATTTATTTTTCTTTATTGTTTTAGGTGTAGCTGTGACAAATTCTTTTCGATTGTAGTTGTAATAGAATTAGTGGGTAGGACAATATATATATATATATATATATATATATATATATATATATATATATATGTTGTGGATTCCGAGATGAAATCCGATCTCCAATGAATGACAAACGCAGGAATAAAATATAACAAATAAATGTATTGACGTAATAATACAATTGGTAATACGGTTAGTAGATCCAGAAATGCGGTTAGTAGCAATAATAATATATATACAGTCTGGGAAATTCAGTATCGAATTAGGACTTCCTTCTGAGTCTACGCGCTCGTAACTGTGACTCCTACAAAGCGGTTACCTCACACTCTTACTCTCTCTATTATCTCTACCTCTCGGTATTCACCGGCAGCAATACAAATACACACTGGTCGATTCCACTTGTATGAAAAAAAACTCCATAACAATATAATATATATATATATATATATATATATATATATATATATATATATATATATATATATATATATTGATTCGTTGTGGGTCTGTATTTCTATTTTGTAAATTTTATGAGCCTTGTGTTTCTCAGTGGATATAAAATCGTTAAGGTATTGGAGGTTTTTGAAAGTATTTTCAATATATTTCTCCTCCTGTAAATATTGAGGGCTGCACATTCTTAGTGCTCTTCTCTAGAATGTTATTTGTGGGAATGGTGGAATAGAAATTTATTAGATCATTTTTATTTGTTAATTTTCGGTGGACACTAAGTTTTAAACTGCTGTCAACGCGGTGTTTCATTGATATCCTGGAAAAGTAAAGCATTGTTTTCTTCCCTTCCATATGTAATTTTTATTGAATTTTCGACTTTCTTTAGTTTATATACAAGATCAGGTAAACCAATATCACGGGGATATATGAATAAAGCATCGTCAATAAATCAGAAATATGTGGATTATTTAGGTAAAATCCTTTGGATAGAAACAGATTCTAGAAATTCTAAGAATATACATGCCATCACTCCTCTAAGATGTGATCTCAATGGTAATCCAAATTTTTGTTTATAAAAGTTATTAAATGTAAAATAGAATTAATTGGCGGTGAGACGGTAGATTATTATAATTTTAGCTGTTGCTAGGAAGAGGTTTATGTTTGGTTGTTAGATGATTTATTTGTTATAAGAGCATCGCGATGTTAATGTAAAGTGGTCATAATATAGACTGGCCAAACGTTTGTCAGCCATGTTTGTCTTGGTTTTTCAAAAAGGTTGCCTGAATTTTTCTATATGTTATGAACTGATTGTTCCAAAGAGAGGGGTTAAAATTTTGTTATGATATTAGCAAGTTTGGGGGTGGGACATTTTTTATTCCTGAAATAATGGGGTACATTGGGAGGCCGATATTTTGGTTTTTCGGGAGACCATAAAGTTTGGATATTATGGGGTTATATGATAGATAGATAGATAGATAGATAGATAGATAGATAGATATAAATAAACTGAGCTATAAATAGATACATATGAAGAGACGGACAAGTGTATAGATATGCAGAAATTGGGATAGATAGATAGATAGATAGATAGATAGATAGATAGATAGATAGATAGATAGATAGATATAAATAAACTGAGCTATAAATAGATACATATGAAGAGACGGACAAGTGTATAGATATAAAGAAATTGGGATAGATAGATAGATAGATAGATAGATAGATAGATAGATAGATAGATATAAATAAACTGAGCTATAAATAGATACATATGAAGAGACGGACAAGTGTATAGATATAAAGAAATTGGGATAGATAGATAGATAGATAGATAGATAGATAGATAGATAGATAGATAGATATAAATAAACTGAGCTATAAATAGATACATATGAAGAGACGGACAAGTGTATAGATATAAATTTCTTGGGATAGATAGATAGATAGATAGATAGATAGATAGATAGATAGATAGATAGATATAAAATAAACTGAATATAAATAGATACATATGAAGAGACGGACAAGTGTATAGATATAAAGAAATTGGGATAGATAGATAGATAGATAGATAGATAGATAGATAGATAGATAGATATAAATAAACTGAGCGATAAATAGATATATATGAAGTGTATAGATATAAAGAAATTGGGATAGATAGATAGATAGATAGATAGATAGATAGATAGATAGATAGATAGATAGATAGATAGATATGACGAGATGGTCAGCTATATAAATATAAAAAAACTATATATATATATATATATATATATATATATATATATATATATATATATATATATATATATATATATATATATATATATATATATATATATATAAAGAGAGAGAGAGAGATAGACAGACGGAGAGATACATAGTCACGTCTGTAAATACTAGATTAAATGCCGCCCTATCGGGCAGCATTTAAGCTAGCCCCAGTGGAGAGCTCTTCATTGGGCTCTCGTCTTGTTCAGGAGATTGAGTGTCTCTAAACCTTTGCCTATTCTCAGCACTGAAAGATCTCCTGGCTGCCATTTTACCTGGGTTTCCATTTACACGGGACCTTTTTTTCCTCACTGTAGACTTGGCCCTTTTGACGTAATCTAGTCCACCGTTGGCGGAGGTTTTTTGTGATCGCTGCATTTAAGTACTGAATTAATGTTTAAGCTTACCGTTTAAAAGTTCAACGATAATTCTCCAGCCGCCATTTAATTTAAATACAACTTGATGTACGTAGGTCCTTACTTTCCGCACAAACAATTATTTTTATTTCATGGAAGACTTCTCTTGTATTTTACAATTAATTGCGATTATTTCCAAATTTATTTCCATGCTATAAAAATTGTTATCGAATAAAAAAATTCCTCAGAAAAATCACGTAAAAAATCGCCGATAACAATTGCTGTAATAAAAACTTGGGAAACGAAGCATTCAGGAACGCGAGTCTGAATCCGAGCCGGAATGTTTTTAATTTGCTCATCAGACCGACCTGATTACAAAATGGGATGATATGTTAGGCTACTGTTTCTACTGGTGAAGGTGAAAGAATCTTGACACACTGACACACTCAATATATATATATATATATATATATATATATATATATATATATATATATATATATATAGAGAGAAAGATTTTGAACAGATTGAGATCGATAGATAGATAGATAGAGAGAGAGAGAGATTTGAACCGATAGAGATAGATAGATAGATAGAGAGAGAGAGAGAGAGTGAGAGAGATTTGAACCGATTGAGATAGATAGATAGATAGAGAGAGAGAGTGAGAGAGAGAGATTTGAACCGATTGAGATAGATAGATAGAGAGAGAGAGAGAAAGTGTGAGAGAGAGATTTGAACCGATTGAGATAGATAGATAGATAGAGAGAGAGAGAGAGAGAGAGATTTGAACCGATTGAGATAGATAGATAGAGAGAGAGAGAGAGAAAGTGTGAGAGAGAGATTTGAACCGATTGAGATGGATAGATAGATAGAGAGAGAGAGTGAGAGAGAGATTTGAACCGATTGAGATAGATAGATAGAGAGAGAAAAAGTATAGAGAGAGATTTGAACCGATTGAGATGGATAGATAGATAGAGAGAGAGAGAATCAGAGAGATTTGAACCGATTAGATAGATAGATAGATAGATATAATCAGAGAAAGAGAGATTTGATCCGATTGAGATAGATAGATAGATAGATAGAGAGAGAGATTTGGACCGATTGAGATAGATAGATAGAGAGGGAGATAGAGAGAGAGATTTGAACCGATTGAGATAGATAGATAGATAGATAGATAGATAGAGAGAGAGAAAGAGAGAGATTGACGAACAAAATGAGATGCGAAAACATTCAGGACTGCGAGTCTGAATCCTAGCCGGGATGTTTTTAATTTGCTCACAGAGTCGACCCGATTACAAAATGGTATGATATCCTAGGTAACGATCTCTACAAGTGAAGTTGAAAAGGTGTGACACATTTATTTCTTTACATAGATTGGTAGATAAACATATATATATATATATATATAGATAAATATATAAATGATGGAAATTATTAGGAGGATTTGATAATTATAATTAAGTAATGCCTCGAGTCTGAAAGAAACCTCAACAGAATGCAGAAAGCACTGGACGGCCGTTTAGTCCTATATTTGGGACTCATCAGAAGTGCGCATTCACTACCGAGAATTGAAACCCTGACAGGTTATCAAGCAAACATTATACCAACTGTTTCAACGGGACTCGGTAACTGGGTCACAGTTCTATGGTTACAGAGAATCTCAGCTGAGTTCCACCACGGAATATGTGAGCGAGCGGCGCTGATTTGCTACCTCATCGTCACCGAGGCCCAGTGGGACAGTTGGTATGATGTTTGCTTGATAACCTAACAGGCCGGTTTCAATTCTCAGAAGTGGACGCGAACTGCTGATGAGTCCCAAATATAGGACGAAACGGCCGTCCAGTGCTTTCTGCATTCTGTTGAGGTTTCTTTCAGACTCGATGAATTACTTATATATATATATTTGAACATATTTATATAGATAGGTAGATAGATAGAAAGGGAGAGAGAGATTAACGAACAAAATGAGATACGACAGTAGAATCAATTGATTGATAGACAATTCTGTAAACATATGTCTAATAAAAATATAAAAAGAATGTAAAATGAAATCAGAAATTATAAAGGCAGCAAATAAAAGGACAGTCAATGACGATGATGGAAATAAATTCAGTTTGGCGCATGCGCATTGCCTGATGTAATCATCCATTGACAATGGACTCACATAAGAGTGACAGCGATTTTTCATGGAAGAGCTCTGTATGTCTAAAAATGGCAACGCAAATGAAATTCTGCCTGCGATTTTATTCGGTGTTAATGAAAAAGAACGCGATAATGGTAAGGACACGCGGAAGCATAAGCCAGACCGGTCCCATATAGAAACGAGAAGAAAAGGAGAACAAAATGAAAGCTGAAAATATGATAAAGAGGGAGACGCAATCAAAAGAAAAGAAGATATTTTGATGAAAGAAAAGAAAAAAAAAACACTATTGCAGTAATTAATCGTACTGAGAGGAAAAAAAAGTTAGGAACTAAACAGTTTTCAAAGAGTTCCTTTAACAATCGGGTTCTCTCTCACAAAAGAACGTCTTAAAATTTTCCCTCAATATCCGACCATGTTTTTTAAGCGGTTATATTTTTTATGACATGATCCGAATCAATTATTCTCTTTATTGTTTAATGAATTACGTCGTCCTGTGTATGACGATAAACTACATATGACAGCAATAGCTCATGTCGGGAAGTTTGAACAGCGTGGAACCACCTCTTAATAGTCATTGTTCCCCGGTCCACCCTAATCCTGGGTGGTAGCATTTGTATGAGTCCCAGTAATACATTAAAAAAAAATACCAGCAATATATATTTTAGAAAAAAAATACCAGCAAAATATTTTGAAGAAAACATGCCAGCAATATATTTCTGAAACAAAATACCAGCAATATATTTCTGAAACAAAATACCAGCAATATATTTTTGAAAAAACTTACCGATAACACTTTTTTCAAAAAGAAATATCACCTATATATTTATGAAAAAAATACCTGTAACACATTTTGAAAAAAGAAATAACAGCTATATATTTTTGGAAAATCAGACTAGTAACACATTTTTGAAAAAAAATATCAGTAATATATTTTTGAAAAAAAATTAACAGTAACACATTTTTGAAAAAAAAATAACACCAATATATTTTTGAAAAAAAATTACGGTAACACATTTTAAAAAAATACCAGCAATATATTTTTGAAAAGAAATATCATAACACATCTTTGAAAAAAATGTCAGCAATATATTTTTGAAAAAAATATCTGCAAAACATTTCTGAAAAAATACCAACAGTATATTTTAGATAAAAAATATAATACCAGAAATCTATTTTAGAAAAAAATGCTACCAACACTTTTATGTAAAAGAAATTAAATTTCGTCATTAAATAACCCAATGGGTTGATATACCGTAAAAGAAATCAACCCGTACTTAATGAATCCAGTTACACGCACAACTTGAAAACTTTTCCTAGTTAACCTTTCTTGTATTCAAAAATTTATTCGAGACTTTTTTTATTAAAAAATGTTTTTCATTTGTCCGAGAAAACCCGATAAAAAAAGAAATCTTACACTTCGACTTAGAAACCCAGACAAAAAGAGAAGTGTTACACTTCGACTTAGAAGACCCGACTAAAAAAGAGATGTGTTACACTTCGACTTAAAAACAAAAGAGATGTGTTACACTTCGACTTAGAAGACTCGACTAAAAAAGAGATGTGTTACACTTCGACTTAGAAGACTCGACAAAAAGAGATGTGTTACACTTCGACTTAGAAGACTCGACAAAAAGAGATGTGTTACACTTCGACTTAGAAGACTCGACAAAAAGAGAAGTGTTACACTTCGACTTACAAGACCCGACAAAAAGAGATGTGTTACACTTCGACTTAGAAAACCCGACAAAAAGAGAAGTGTTACACTTCGACTTAGAAGACCCGACAAAAAGAGAACTGTTACACTTCGACTTAGAAGACCCGACAAAAAGAGAAGTGTTACACTTCGACTTAGAAGACTCGACAAAAAGAGAAGTGTTACACTTCGACTTAGAAGACTCGACAAAAAGAGAGGTGTTACACTTCAACTTAGAAAACCCGACAAAAAGAGAAGTGTTACACTTCGACTTAGAAACCCAGACAAAAAGAGAAGTGTTACACTTTGACTTAGACGATCCGACAAAAAGAGAAGTGTTACACTTCGACTTAGAAGACCCGACAAAAAGAGATGTGTTACACTTCGACTTAGAAGACTCGACAAAAAGAGATGTGTTACACTTCGACTTAGAAAACCCGACAAAAAGAGAAGTGTTTGACTTCGACTTAGAAAATGTCTACGAACGTTGATTCTATTTATGCAACTTTTATTTACGTGATTAAAGTCTTGTATGGCTGGCCGGAATAGGTGCACCTTTCATAGCTCAAGCCACAGGAATGTAAGGGTACACCCAAGTTCTACTTAGGGAGGGACATCAGGTTGTCATTTTAACCATAATAGATCCTATGCAATATGCAACTAGAAAACTAAATTTAACTCCATCTTTTATAATTAAATCTTTATCTGACTTTTTATCGTTGTTGTTGTTGGCGCCCGCTCGCATGTGAGTATCGGGGTCGACATCCTCTCTCACTATATCGTTTCTTCCCCCGACCCCTGGGGACGGTGTCGGAGAAAGTTTAATGACGCAACTGGCATGGATTTGATTTTGGTGGACAAATCCGCCGTGAATATGGCAAAGAAAATCAGGACAACAGTCCGTACAATGAAAATTTCTAGCACATCTTAGGCATTTTTCGCTTGCTGTTTACAATACGTTATTCCAGATAATGGCTAATTCTTTTTGTTCGCTTTCCTTTATTAATTTGTGTCTCAGAGGTCCTGTAGTTTTCGGTCTCTGCCATCAACAAAGGAAGAATTTGCGTATCTTATATCGTTAAGTTTGCCCCCAAATAAATAATCCTGGTAGCGTCGTTTGCTTTACAATGTCTGTGTCTTCTTGGGATATCCACCCCGCCAGTATCAATGAAAAGGATCATTTACTTCTGGTATTCGTTTTATTAAGTGTGGCTGCTTGGATTCTAAGAGACATTAGGAGGAATGACGTCACAGGAACGCATGTGGTACCCTGGCTCTTCGTTACCATATTCACAACGCTTCGGTCGTTGTACACTCCGCCCATATTCATGTGACTGGAACTTCGGACCGAACTCTTTATTCCGTCCACCCTGGTAAGATTGTTCTAGTTCTACGCGTCATACCTCTTCCGGATGTTTCAGTATCATTTATTTTTGTTCACCTCTGCTCTAACCAGGTATGGAAGTCAAAACACTTAGGCTTAAGTCACTGGATTCAGCCAACGGATTTAAATACTGAGCCAAATCTTCCCTCGGCAAGTGGTCTTAGCCGGTCGCTAACCTCGGTGTGAGAGGCATACTGACAAATTTTCACCATCTGCTCCTTCTTATTCTCTGATTTTCTTTCACTTCTAATCAAGTCTTGCGAACGGCGATCAGGAATGAATGACGGGAGGACGTTTTGTTAAAAATGGAAGCTTCTCATCCTGATTCTTCAAATGTCTTGTTATATGGATCAGTTATAATAAAAATAGCATAGTAGATATAGAAACTGAACATAAAATAGGCTGCGCTAGAAGTAGTTTCACACAATACCGCAAGTTGCTACAGAAACCAAAACATCAACCTGAAATCTCGAGCCATGTTCTTAAATAGCCACGTCGAATGAAGACTTTCATATGGAGGCCATGCATAGCACCAAATATCATTTAGAAGTATCTAAACTGTCAGATATATACAACCGTTTTCCAAGATCAATGGTGAAAAAAAAGGATTTGGACGAGTAAAGTTTGAGAGTCTTAGCAAAGATCAATCTTCTTTGAACATTGCGAACTGGCGCTATACATTCACAAGCAAAGAACTGTACCAAATAACAGAAACCACGCCACTTGAAGACTACCAATTTTTCGTAACGGAGAGAAATCACCTTACAATCTTAAATTGGCTCTTCAACTAGATAAGCATATGGATCTCATGCATAGCGCCAAACTCCTTCAGCTAAATCCTAATTGTCAGCAGTATACAACCGCTATATTAAGATCAATGGTGAAAATAGGATTTGGGCGAGTGAAAAATTAGAGTCTTAGCACAGACCATACTTCTTTTAACATTGTAGATTGGCGCCATAGATTCACAAGGACTACAGAATTTTCGTAATGGAGAGAAATCTCCTTTCAAGCTTAAAACTCGAGTCTTGTTCTTAAATAGCCTCTTCAACCAAAATCTTCCATATGGATCTCATGCATGGTGTCAGGCCTCTTCAGAAATATCTAAACTGTCAGTTGTATACAACCGCTTTCCAAGATGAATGGTTAACAATGGCTTTGAGCGAGTCTTGAGAGTCTTGGCGGACTGGCGCTATACATTCACAAGCAAAGAACTGTACCAAATAACAGAAACCATACCACTTGAGGACTACCAAATTTTCGTAACGGAGAGAAATCTCCTTTCAAAGTGAAAATTCGAGTCTTATTCTTAAATATCCCCGTCAACTAGAAACTTCCATATGGATGTCATACATCACGCCAAATTCACTCAGAAATATCTAAACTGTCAGATATATACCACCGTTTTCCAAGATCAATGTTAAAAAATTCGCCCTCAGCGAGTAAAGCCTATGTCGCTTGTCGAAGATCACACTTCTTCTATTAGCAGTCTGCTTATGACATGAATCATTCCTTGACGTCTCTCGTAGGTAACGTCCTGGGTATGACGATAAACTACATCCGGCAGCAAGGCCTCTGATCAGGAGATTGGAGATTTGGAAAGTTTGAAACCACCTTTTAACTGCTGTTGTTCCCAGGTCTACCCTGACCCGGGGTAGTAGGACTTGTTAGGGACCCAGTACATTTTTATAGTAAAATGAGCAACAATAGATTTTTATAGTAAAATGGCAATTGATGAAACACTAAATAACATAAAAAAAATACATTTTTATTGTAACATTCCTAACAATGTTT